CCGCCCCGAGCAGCGGCAGCGACTCGCTCAGCCCTAGGCCCCTCCCCTCGGAGCCGACCGCTTTCAGGGGCTCCGCACGCCCCAATTTGGAAACGGCCCAAACATCCCTGCCTCCGTGTCAGCGGGACCAGCCGCCGCCGCTGCCGGGGGTCGGCCGGGATGTGACCTCCACGCGAAGCCACAGAACTCAGGGAGCAATGGCCGCGATCAACTTAAAACGCGAGAATGAGATGAGTTTACAAAGCCCGGGCCTCCCTCCGCCAAAGACAAACACGAGCGAGGGAGCGAGTCCATTCCCCACGAGCGGGCAGACGCGGGGGCCAGACCCCCACGGTGACACTGACCCCACGAAACAGAGAGACAGCCTCTGCCCAGCCCCCCGCCTCCACGTAAAACACGAACACGTGTGGCAGCAGCCGTGGTGAAAGCAAACGGGCATGAGATGGACACGGACAGGCGGGCGCAGCGCGGGGGAGGCGGGCGAGACGTGTACTTACAACAGAGAACACACAGACATCACGTCTTCCACCATCCTGAGACAGGGAGACAGAGAGACAGACAGAGGCCCTGACACACAGCAGCCTGCGGCCGTCCGCGGGGTCCGCGGGAGTGGGGGCGCTTTCCAGAGAGGGCCCCCCGAGAACCCTCCCGTGCTGGTTCCGATGATCCCATAAAGGGCTGCTGCCAGGAGCCTGGTCCCAGGGCACCCCAGCCACCGGCCCTGGAGCAGGACGGCTCGGGGGCTGGCATCCCGGACACCGGAGCTCTGAGGACGGAGCAGGGAGGAGGGGGGCCCTGAGGAGGAGGGGGGCCCTGAGGAGGAGGGGGTGCCTGAGGAGGAGGGGGTGCCCACAAGATGGCTCTCGAGCCAAAGACGACAGAACGAGTCTGCAGCCTGAGATTTCATGCTTCTCTTGTTTGGGGCTTAAAGCTTCTGCCCTGGCTGGTGTGGCTAAATGGGTAGAGCATCGGCCTGCAGACTGAAGGGTCCCGGGTTCGATTCCAGCCAAGGGCACGCACCTCAGTTGCAGGCTCGATCCCCAGCCCTGGTCTGGGCGCGTGCAGGAGGCAACCAATCGACGTGTCTCTCTCACATCAAAGTTTCTCTCTCTGTCTCTCCCCCTCCTTTCCACTCTCTAAAAATCAACGAAAAAATACCCTCGGGTGAGGATAACAAATGAATAACGAAGCTTCTCACACAGATTCTACGGCGTGTCCAGCAGAAGCCTGTTGGGGTAACCGATCTAAGAGTCCTGCTGGGGGGACCGGGATAGCCCCCCCTGCCCCCCTCCCCCGCGCCAGCAGGAGCAGGGGGACCCCAGGCCACGGTCCGAGAGCCCCGATGGGAGGCCCAGGGCGCCGCCTTG